AAAGACTAATTTTAGGCTAGATGATTAATCTTTTTCTAACTCAAAGAAGCATTTCATTGAATGGCCATTTACCTAAATGCTTGTATAGATCAAAGTTTTTTCACTATAGGAAGAAACACTAGTTGAACGAACAAATGTCAGCTACAATAGAAATTGCATATAGAAATGAATTGCTCCAAAAGCTAAAAGGCAGATAAAACTAAAAGACCAGCAAAACAAAACTCAGCAATGCATATGACATTGCTGTGCTGGGAAAGAGCTTAATAATGCTGTTGGCAGGGAACTCTCCAAAACACAGCCCCGGTACCAGTAAGCTTCCTATTTGCGCGTAATCACAATCAAGCTGCCAGAGGTATCAACGTTCCAATGTGCTGTATTAGAAATTCAGCTTAAATAACCCTTCTAGTGCATAACATCGAATCAGAACTGAAGAGAGAAAACTGATAAGGCTGTGACACTGGGGAAACCAAATAGGCACAAAAGAACATCAACAACATACTTCTGAGCACCCTGGAACATTACATTATAATCATAAAATGCAGAGCACGCCGAAGGTTGAAAAGCGTAGTCTTTAAACGCAGACCTCATATAGCCTAAAAGACCTTTCTGAGGTTGAAAATATTTGCCTTATGAAAAAGTTGAGGGCATAAAATCAGTGTAGGGAGGGTACCAATTCCCTCTCTAGAGGGTAGGCATATACTCTTGTAACTTATTCAGCAGCGTGGAAGTTCCACTCTGCTCCCAAATGCTTGTTCTAGAAAATGGCAAGATTATTTGGGGCCACAATAAATACTTCCTTTTGAAATTTTACAGTCAACCTCAGTGCAAATTGAAAACAATTTTTAAAAAGAGTAAGAGCTTCTAGCCAAGTGTGATGGCGCATGCCTTTAATCCCAGCAATCAGGAGGCAGAGGCAGGCAGATGTCTGTGAGATGGAAGCCAGCCTACACAAGGTTCAGGCCAGCTGGGGTAACAGGGAAGACCCTCAAAAAAACAAAACAAAAAATTGCAAAACAACAAAAGAGTTTCAAAATGTCCAAACACTACTTATCTTCAGAAAGACCAAATGGGGTATAGGGGCTGGAGGCATGGCTCAGCCATTAAGAGCAGTGGCTGTTCTTGCAGAGGACCCAAGCTCTGTTCCCAGCATCCTCCTGGCAGCTAACAGCCACACAGTAGCTGATAACTGTCTATAACTCCAGTTCCAGGGGCTCCAATGCCCTATTCTGGCCTTCACAGACATTGAACACATGTGGTGCACTTACATACAGGCAAAAACACTCATACACATAAAATAAAATAACTTTTTAAAAGGCTATGTGGAATATACTGAGGCTCCTGGTTTAGATACTGGTAGATACTGAATATAAGTATACTTCAAAGTTCTTGAGGGAAAGTCAGATCGTGCTTGTTCTTTTTTTGAAATGGAGTTTTACTTCCATTAGACTCTAAACACTGAATACATAGACTGGATTTTCTATGAGTAAATGATCATTGCAGGACATTCCTGGTTTATTTGCATCTGTTTCCAAAACTACCTATTTGTTCTTTGGATAAGCTTCTTCAGAACTTCTGGAGCAGACATATAAAAGGTATGTGGAGATCATCAAGCCCTTTTTACATTTTAATTATGCAGAAACTGGTTTCCAGGCAGGTGATACAGCCAGCTAGAGGCAAAAGTGGGAACTAAAGCAAAGTACTAACTCAGACGCAATAATCGAAACATTATACAACATCCTTTATTGCATGACTGGCCAAAAAAAAAAGTATGTATTACTCATTCAGAACAAATCTATTAATTCCAGGCAATACCACACTTCAAACATACATGTGAAAGCAGCTTTGGAGGAGAGGTTGAGAGCTTTGTACGTCAACACGAAGACTGAACATAGGCATCATATGTTATACCAGAGCTGGATGATAAAATTTTGATTTGAGTTCCCTAATTTACCATCTCACAGCTTGTACATGTTGCTTAACTCTTCTGAAATTATAACTACTTGAGAGTTCTAAGAATTAAATGCACAGGGTGTGGTGGTACACACCTTTAATCCCAGCACTTGGGAGGCAGAGGCAGGTGGAACTCTGAGTTCAAGGCTAGCCTGGTTTACATAGTGAGCTCCAGGTCAGCTGGGGCTACAGGAAGACCCTGTCTCAGAAAGACAAAAAAAAGGACTTAAATGATTAAATGCAGTTGTACAGGAATCCAGTCTATAGTAGGTACTCAATAAATAATGCACCTTATTAATTCTAAACTGCCACAAAATGTGTCACTTCTGGAAAATTCCTTTAGTTCTTTGGGTCTCAATTTCTCAAACTGAAAAATGAGATAAAACTAAATGAAGTCTTGAGTTACTTTCATCTCATCAAGAAAGAATTCCCTGGACAGAGATGTAGCTCAGTAGCAGAACAATTTCCTAGTCTATGAGAGTCCCTGGGTTCAGTCCTCAGTGCAAAACAATGCCATTCCCAAGTGAACTCACTTGCATTTAAATTCAGCAAATGTCTAAATATCCTGTACCAATCCTAGTCACCCTCACTACCAGAAAGAGATTCATGCATTCAGCAAAATGGACTCCAACTCTGATCCAAGAAGTTATAGAAACATGTCTTCAGTAAACACCAAAGCATATCTCTAAACTGCAGACAGGAGGTCCATGACCCATTTCTGTGCTACAAACTTTATATGTGGCTTTTAGGTAAGGCACAACAACAGGTAGAGCCACCTGATCCCTTTAAGATTTCTTCTTGTTCCTGTAATGAACATCTATACACGTCTCCAATATGGATCTGAATGGCCGAGGCCACCCACAGGGCAGGAAGCACTCAGGAGCACAGATTCTGCTCTTTGTGGCACTGCTGAGATAAGCCAGTTTCTGTAGAGCCAGGCACTCAAGGATCTGGCTGTGTCTTGGCTGGAGAGCATCACTGGTGACTATGGAAGCACCCCAAACAAACTCTTGTCAAGGACTGTGTAGGGGACATGTGAGTCCTCCCAAGTTTTGACCTTTTGTGTCCTTGGTCTTTCATCATGGCTGAAGGCACTGAGTACATTACACTTTCTGATCATAAGAAAAACAATTCTAGCGGTTGGCAGTGTAGCTCAGTGGCCTTGCATGTGTTCGACCCCTGGTTCCATCTCCTGCATGAGGGAAAGGGTGGGGGAGAAAATAGTTCTAAACTGAATGGTCTTTCTTCTCAGTCACATCTGAATCATCTGTGTAAGATTCTCATTCTTACACATTAACCTCTTTGTTTACAATATCCTAAGTCACCTTAGTGTACTGGTTAAAGGTTATGAAGTGGGCTTCTTTACTCTCCTGTTTAACTGCTGTGCAATCAAGCATGAAATTTAACCCCTCTGTGTTTTAGATTCCTTTACTGTAAAATAGAAAATAGTAAAATGTAACTCACAAGATTGTTGTGAAAAGTAGTGAAGAAAGTTCATACCAAAAGCACAGAGCCTAACATCAAGTAATTGTTAGATGAGAGAGAGGCGGAGACTCTGAAGGCTCATCTAAAGGCCACAGCTCTCTGGCAATGAATGGCATCTACTGATCTATCTACTTCTGGGCAAATCGAATGGCAGAGATTCAAAGCTGGGCTCAGCACTTACTAATAGGATCCTGCAGGAATCAGGAGGAAATGAGATTATCCTGAAAGTAGGAAAGTTACTGCAATTTAAGATAGCAGCTTTAACACACACACACACACACACACACACACACACACACACATATCAAAGAACTGAAAAGGGGGATGTTTTTCATTTATTCCTTTTTAAGTGTTGCTAGCATTAGGAACTACAGAATTTTATAACTGCATGACTCCCTGGACACTGTCTACTTCAACTCTCTCACTTAGCAAGTACCTGAGGCCCAAAGAGCTTAAACAGCTTGCCTGAGGCAGTTTAGCAGCAAATGTCAGTGCCAAGATAAGATTATAACACTCCCTGTTTCCCCACCTACTGCTTGTGTGTCTCAGTAGGTCAGCACCCTGTATTTGCTGTTCCAAAATAAATAAATAAATAAATAATAAATAAATAATCCCATACACAAAGTTTTCTCACATCTTCCCAGGTTCACAAAATGTAAGAAAGGAACTTTACCCCACCAGGACCATGACTTCCACCTTCTTTTCAGAATCTCTCATCACGTGACCTGTGGTGGACCTCATTAACCTGCAGCCCTCTCCCAAACCCTCCCTGGAATTTCTGCTCTCTTCTATTCCTTTCTGTCATCCATTCCTAAAGGCTGCTATTAGAAGCTCCTCACCAAAAGACTGAGGTACTTCCCTGAGCAGAGCTGACAACCTGCTCATTTGCAAATTCTCAGCTCTCCTCCAATGCCATAGGGAGCCTCTGTCAAGAGATGCAAAGCTGTTTAAGTTTCTGCCCCTCTTTCAGTTCAGTTAAAACTGATTTCTCCCTCCCTAACTCTAGTTCAACTTACAAGTGTGTGGCAATGTGAAGGGCTAGAGAACCTTTAGCTATAACACAGGAAACAGGAAGAGGAAGACACCAGGGGAGAAAAAGACCACCAGAAGGAGGAAGCCAGTAGAAGCAGTCTGACCAAACTGTCAAGTCTGGATCCCAAAGACAGCTCGCTGCTGCTGAGTGACTCAGTGCTGAGTGGCCACAGCTGCCCAGGGAATGGCACAGGTTTAATTATACACTCTGTTAGCTGACTAACAGCAGGCTAGCCTCTAGACTACAAACAGGAAGTGGGCTGAGGCTATCCCCAGGTGACAGATTCAAGGAAATCTCCCTGCAGCTCCCTTGATCGCCTCTCATCTAACGTTTTTCAGTCTGTCTGATGGGCACATCCCAGCTCCTCCAAAGTTCAGTGACACCCTCCCAAAAGGGTACATGAGCCGACTTAGGGAATCCCTTAGCCGAGGCTCTACTTTGAGGCATCACAGACTGCCAATGTTCTTTCCCAGGGTGCCCACCTGCAAAACCGAAAGACGGCTTTTCTTGTGCCCTTTTCCCCTCTCCCTACCTGAATTCCGGGACCAGGTTAGGCTGAAGCCCATAGAAGGCAGCGGAGAGAGTGACCAGCCACCCGGGCTTGTAACTCCCGTTCTCGCACTCCAGATAAGGCGGGGACCACTTGATGTGGCTCCTGTCCCCGCCGAGCCCGTCCCTGCGCCGCCAGTTGTGTCCCAGGCCCCGGGGCCCCTGGTTGGAGCCACGGCGGTGCAAATGGGGCCTCCACTTGCGCCGAAGGCCATGGAACCACTCGCTCTCTAGAGTGGCGTTGGCTAGGTGGTGGGCGGAGGAGGACAGGTCCTGGAGCAGGATGCGACTCTCCTCGCGGGTGGCCTGGAGAAAGACCTGCGGGGCGGGCGCGGACAGCGACTCGGTGCTGAAGGTGATGGCTGCCCGGGAGATGCTGGGCTCACCCTCCAGGAGGCTCCGCACCAGAGCCTGGTACCACTCCAGGTCATCCTGCAAGTTCTGCTCCCGAGACTTATTGCTCTGTAGCATCATGTTGAGGAAGTTGGTGGCGTGCGTCAGAGTGTCCAGCGCCCCGTGTAAGGAGGGATAGGAGCTGGCTAGGGCGGGGGACTTTCCTGGCAGACCCGCCAACTCATAGCGGCTGGAACAGTTGGTTCGCTTCAGCTGGTGGGAGTCCCCGGTGTAGAGGTAAGAGGCCACGTCCGTGGGCACCTCCTCGGCAAGTTTCTGTGCCAAGATGATGCCGTCGGTGGAGCGGCTCCAGGGAGCCGAGGGGTCCGGGGCTGAGGCTCGAGCCAGCTGCTGGGAGTGCTGCTTCCCCCTCGGGGCCCTCTCTCGAGGGGAGTCTGGCCGTCCCGGAGGGTCGCGGCTAGCGCCAACAGCTCCCAATCCCAGATGAGCGAGCAGGAGGCAGAGGAGTAAGGGATAAACCATGGCTCCCTTCTATCCAGCACTGGAGACGGAGGTAATCCGAGGAGTCACTTTGCAAATTGTGGTCGTCGATTTATCACCAGTAAAGACTTTTCATTAGAGGGTCTTCTGGCTTCTCCCCGGTGGCACCAAGTCCAAAGGGACTTTAAAATAAGAATGTTTTGGAATTGGCCCAGCTGGCTAAGCTGCCGTCACAGATCCAATCACCTGTGGCAAGGCTGGCTCCACAATGGGTCGGCTCGGGATTACGCACCTCGCAGCCTTGAGCCGAACAGGTTACATCCCCCTCGCTCTCCGGGCAGCTATAGTTAGCCTGCTTACGTCTTTCTGCTCGGCCGCTTCCACCTCGGCTCTCATTGAGGTGTGTTCAAGAGCTGCGGCTGCTGATGCTGCTGATGCTGATGCTGATACTGCCTCGGGGGCTGCTGAAGACGCTGCTCCATCATCTCACCCGCCGCAGGTCGTTCCCGCCTCCCTGCTCTGGCTCCTCCTCGACCCCTGCGCCCCAGGCTAGGCGCGCACAGACCCAAGCTGGGCACAGCTGGGAGTCCCCAAGGCTTCTTTAAAGATGCTAGCGTCTCTGGAGCCCGGGCAGCTGGTTAACTGGAGCCTTTAGTTTTGGCCACAAACCACACTGCTGCCTTTCCCTGCTCTCGGAGGAAACCAGTTTAAAGAGACAGCTTGGCTGCAACCAAACCCTTGTAGGGCGGCTTCAAGTCGTTTTGTGCCCTGTTTGGTCGGCGCCTCTGTCAATCAGCTGACTGCCATTTATTGGCTGGGGCGGGAGCTGTCCAGTGCTGAACCCCAGGCGCACAGAGGAGGCGGAGGAGGAGGCGGCAGCCGGGAGGCAGCCGCATCAGTGCTTTCACCCACCCGGTTCCCTGATGACTCGGAAACCCGCAGGGGTGGCGTGGGGTGGGCGGGAAGGAGGGAGGAACAGCGCCAGCGGAGGCTGAGAGCGAAGGAAACTTGGAGTACTGAGAGGAGGAGGCTGTTGGCATCTTGCATGCTTAGTTAAATCAGCCTTTTCTTCTGCCTGGAAAAGAGGGAGGAGGAAATAGTTTTCATTTCATAATCGGACTGAAACTCGAGAGGAGGGACGTAAGATGAGGTCGTGTCCTTCTGAGCATCTGCTCATTTGGGGGCAAATTATCAAATTCTTTTCCTTGTTGTGGGTTAAGGAAATGATTAAACCTGGCTTGCTGGCGATGGTCTTAGCTCTGAGAGAGTTATGGAGACATCTACTGGCTGAGCTTCAAGGAAAAGTCATAGCTAAGGGATCTCTTCTTGGGGGCCAGAATGGAAAGGAACCTGTGACAATAAAGATGTGTGCTTGTTGATCATGTCCCCTCTTTACACATTATAGCCTGAATGAGAGAGAAGATTAAATGTATGCTGAGGGGGATGGATAACAACTAAGACTTACGGACTATCCCAGAAGGAGAACGAAGACCAGAGTATGTGTGCCAGGCCCCTTAAATCAGTGGGAGATTCCCTAACCCTGCCTGATTGTTTAATTTGAAATTTATAAATGCGTTTAAGAGCATCTCCTGACACTGAAAACAGACTAATAGTGCACATGCCTCATGGGGTATGCACCTACACTTCCTATATGCATCTCCACTTTCAAAATCCTCAAGGAAGATACAGATAGAAAAATCTCAAATTCATTTTAATCCCCAACTGACAACTGTCAGTCATGGCAATCCAAGGTAGCACAGCTTAGATAAACTGAACAGTTGTGTTGTATTCTATTGAGAAAAATGCCTTCATGTGTTTTGTGTTGTTACAACAATCTACTGATATTGCCAGGGGTGGTGCATGACCATATGGAAACAGTCTTTCAGGCTTCTGGAGACTTGCCTATGTAAACTTACAGCCATGATGACAGCATGCCCAGGACCCATGCAAATTCAAACCAGACAAAAACAAGCATAGAGCTGAGGAAATGGGCAGGAGGCCCCAACTTTAGCTGAGGAACTATTGGCAGCTGATCATTGCTGGGTGAGGGAGAGTTGATCTTCTTTAATGGAGTTATGCTAGACAGGCTGAACAGGCTCCAGTGGATGAATTTACACAGAGTGACTTCTGGGTACACAGACTTGGCTCAATAGGCCTTAACATATATGACAGAATGAATGAAATCCTGTGGGCAGGCTATGAGGGGAAGGTGTAGATAGGGGAGGGGGCCTAAATATGATGTATTGTGTGAACAGCACAAAATTTTAATTAAAAATATGCATTGGAATAAAGGAATAATGTTTAAAGAAAAAATGTTTGTTTAGGTCATATTTTGCATGCCGAATTTGCAAAATCAGGTAGCCCCATCGCTTTGGCCACTGTTGATGTCTTTCTGACTGTGTCAGAGCATGGAGGATGGCATGATGCTTGGGAGCCTGTGGAAGAGGAAGAAAAATCATTTGACAAGAGAGGAAATAAGTGCCGAGGGAGTGACCACACTGGCTATGTTATGACAAGCTAGTCCCACAAAACTGGATTCTCATTATGCAGCATTAGTTCATTAACAAGAGTAGATCCCCCCATAAATCAAATGCCTTCTGCTAGTGCTCACCTCTTTAAAATTCCATGTCAACACCACCACACTGAGGACAACACTCACAGTGAATGGACCTTCAGAGGAGCAGCCATATCTAAGTCATAGCAATATCTAACAGCATAATTTAGACATATTTAGGAAGAGGAAATCTTTTTTTATTTTTGTGTGTATTTCATACAGAACATCCCAAACAATCTTAATCGTTTTTATACCCTCATTCCCACTGGCACCCTCCCATAGCCTCCCGCCACCCACTGGAGCCCATATACTCTGTCATCGTTGTTATTGCCCACTGTGTTGTCAGTGCCCCCAGAAGTTCCCCAGTGCAAGTCCATCCACTGTGTCTAGTCAGCCTATCTAGAGTCCCTTGTTTAGGAAGATCAGCTGGAAGAGGAAATCTTAATTAAAGAATTTCTTCCATCAGATTGCCCTGTGGGCATGTCTGTAGATTATCATTAATTGACGTAGGAGGGCTCAGACCTCTGTTGGTGATGCCATCCCTGAGCAGATGGACCTGGACTGTATAAAAAGGAAAAGGAGTGGGGCTGGAGAGATGGCTCACTGGTTAAGAGCACCGGCTGTTCTTGCAGAGGAGCCAGGTTCAATTCCCAGCTCCCACTCGGTGGGTAATAACTATCCTTAACTCCAATTCCAGGGGGTCTTATGGTCTCTTCTGACCTCCATGGGCATTACATGACACAGGTGTACTTACTACACACATGCAGGCAATGCACTCATATACATAAAATAAAAATAATGAAATATTTTAAAAGGAAGCTGAGAAAGTCAAGAGGAGCAAGCTAGTAAGCAGGATTCCTCAGTTGGTTTCTGCTTCAGGCTTCTGCCTTAACTTCCTGTCATCACTTCCCTTGATGATAGACTATAAGCTATAAGCTAAAATAACCCCTTACCTCCTCAGGTTGGCTCTGGTCAGTGTTTGATCACAGCAACAGAAAGCAAACTAAAAAACTTAAGTACTAAAATGTAAAAAACAAATATCCAAAAACCACATCTCTCAAAATCCCTGTGGTATCTTAAAAATTGACAGCACTGCCTAGCACATAGTACATTCTCACTATATACTTGCTAAATTAATAAATGAACCACAGGCTATGATGATACCTAATTATTCCTTACCAACAGAAGAGCTCTGTTCAATGTACCAATGATGAGAGCTTTTGAAATAAGGCTTAGCAACCAATTTTCTCAATTGCAGTACCTGGTTATCAAGTCCATTTTTATAGCTGTTCAAAGAATAGTTATTATATTTGTATTTATCAATATCTTTCATGTTGATATCTGACTTTGTGCTTAAATTTTGTTTTGCAATGTATGCCTCTATGCTAAGCAGAGGTCATTCTAGTGTAACGTGCTGTTATAATATGGGTGGCAATAATTACAGAAGAGATTTCTGTTTAATTTCTCATCATAATATACTCTATGCTTTGGCATTTATTTAACTAGCCAAAGTCATGAGCATAATTTGCTCCCTGACTTTTTTTTTTTTTTGGAAACCCTACATAACTCATTAAAAAGTCTTTAAATTTCTCTAGTATATAACTTAAAATGAAACTTTTTCCTTAGTTTGATCCTTCCATAAGCAACTCAATGGATCAGCATAATCAAAAGACCTAGGCTCTGGTCCTAGCATTGTTTTAAAGAAATACACGTGACTGCAGGCAAGACGTTCAAAGTTTTTGTGTCTTGGGACACAAATTGTATCTTGCCTTAGGATTTGACATTGAGGTCATGCTAGAACAGTACCTGAGCCACTATCCAGAAATGTTAGCCCTTCACCTAGCGCACATCTAACAAAAATGCCACAGATTGTGGGAGACCCCTGCAGCTTCAGCATCCCCTCCAGTGGGGAATCTTCAGCCTGCATTGCCAAACAATCTGCATGATCTAGATGGGTCTAGAACAACACTGCTGAATAGAAACACAATTTGAGTCATGAAAGCGATTTTAAATGTTCCAAAAGCTTACTCTAAAAGTTTAGCCAGGTGTGGCGATGCATTCTTAAAAATAATCCCAGCACTTGGGAAGTCTAGGCAGGAGCACCACAAGTTTCAGACCAGTCTATGCTAGCAAAACCCTGCTGTAAAAAGCCCAAGGGTTGAATGGCACAGCCTTTGCTTAGCATGTCCAAGGGTCTATATTTGATACTAGCACTACAAGAAAACAAAGTTTAAATAAAAGAGTAAAACTAATGTCAATAGTGTATTTGATTTTGCCCAATATACCCAAATTATGATTTTTATCATTTCAAAAAGTAAAAAATAAAAAATGACTCACAATCTATGTTACATTTTTACCAAGTCTTCCAATATCATGTGTATTCTGTATTCAAGGAGCCTGGCATTTCACACTAGCCTCATTATGTCACTCGTTACCAGAACCTACTGTAAAGCACAGCTCTGGAGGAAAGTGCATTGTGGCCCACAATGCTATAGAAAAATCCAGGTCCCTTCAACATAAGACAACCCCAGTCCACAAACTCTAGAAGTCTTGGTCTATTCAGTAAGCCAGGAGTAAAGGTAACTGAACAGGAGGACAATCCTTTTATAAGATAATTAAGATAAGAAATGAGCATGTTATAGATGTCCTCCTTCCCCCAACTACATAAACATAATTTTTAGTGTAGATAAGTATCCTGTGCATGCCTCAAAAATGAGAATTAAGTTCTCTAAAGGCACATTTATGCTATGTAGGAGTTTGTTATTGAACAATGGATGCATGACTTGGAGGCTCTGTGTGAAAAGGCCCAAGGCTTTTTCATCACAACCTGAAAAGCTAATCTA